CCCCCCCTGCAAAGAGAGGGGGTGAGGAGCAGCTGCTCCAGGCCCGCCCCGGCAAGGCACGGCCCAGCCCCAGCACCCACCGGCGTGTTTCTCGATGAGCTCCTTCAGCGGCACCGACATCTCCTCCTCCACCGTGCAGGGCGTGTTCACGTGCCCCGAGATGTTGAAGAGCTTGGTGCCCGAGTTCCGCTCCCGGCCGAAGCTGGCGAACCAGGCGCCGCCGCGCCGGCAGATCGTGGGTGCCACCGACACCGTCTCCACGTTGGCCACTGTGGTGGGGCAGCCGAAAACACCTGGGAAACGGAAGGAGAAGGTTCTTCCCTGCGAGGGTGGGGAAGGCCCTGGGATGGATTTCCCGGGGAAATTGTGGCTGCCCCATCCCTGGAAGTGTCCAAGCCAGTGTGGAGCAAACTGGTCTAGTGGGAGGTGTCCCTGCCGGTGGCAGCGGGTGGGAACGGGATGATCCTTAAGGTCCCTTCTCACCCAAACCAGGTTGTCATTCTATGAAACACTGGGAGCTCTCAATGGATGTGGTGGTGGCTGTGTCGGTACCCCCAGGGACAGCCGGTTTGGGGTAGCAGCCGGGAATTTGGGATGGAGCTGTGGGGCCGTACCCACGTCCGCAGGGAAGGGCGGCTTGAGGCGGGGCTTGCCCTGCTTGCCCTCGATGGACTCGATGAGCGCCGTCTCCTCCCCGCAGATGTAGGCGCCGGCCCCGCGCACCACGAACACGTCAAAGGCGTATCCAGATCCGCAGGCGTCGGCTCCCAGCAGCCCGGCCTCGTACGCCTCCTGGATGGCCACCTGCAAGGGGGGCACGGGTGAGCCGTGACCCCCCCGCGCCGGCCCCGGGGTGCTGGCGGGGTGTTTTTGGGGCGCTCCCCGCACCTGCAGGTTGGAGGCCTCGTTGTAGAACTCCCCCCGGATGTAGATGTAGGCGGCCCGGGCGCCCATGGCCCGCCCCGCCACCAGGCAGCCCTCCAGCAGCTTGTGCGGGTCGTGCCGCATGATCTCCCGGTCCTTGCAAGTGCCCGGCTCGCCCTCGTCCGCGTTCACCACCAGGTACTTGGGTCTGGGGGCAGGGAAAGCTCGGGGACCGGCGCCACCGGGGGGCTCCCCGCGGGCCCGGCGCCGCCCCCGGCCCCGCTCTCACCTGCCGTCCGGGGGCTTGTTCATGAAGCTCCACTTGAGCCCGGTGGGGAACCCGGCGCCGCCGCGGCCCCGCAGCCCCGAGGTCTTGATCTCGCCGAGGATCCAGTCCACGCCCTTGAGCAGGATCTCCTTCGTCTTGTACCAGTCTCCGCGGCGCAGGGCGCCCTGCAGCCTGCGGGCACCGCGCACGCTGGCACCGGGCGCGGGGCGCCGGGGCCGCGCCCGCCTCCCCCCGGGGCTCACTCACCTCCAGTCGTGCCGCCCGTAGAGGTTGGTGAAGATCCGGTCCTCATCCCGCAGCGACCCGAACTGCGTCTTCTTGGGCGCCGTCTGCGGGGGACACGCGAGCTCAGCACCGGGAGCACCGGGACCCGGCCCGGACGGTCCTGGAGCTCCCCGCTCACCGAGAAGGAGGCGGCGGGCAGGCGCCGAAGCGCCAGCAGCTGCCGGGCGGCCATGGCGGGGCGGCACCGGGATCGGGACCGGCCCCGGGATGGGGACCGGCACCGGGATCGGGGTCGGGATCGGCACCGGGACCGACCACCGTCACCTTCAGGCGCCCCCGCGGCGACGTCACGGGCAGCGCCGACGGCGCGACAGTGACGTCAGCGATCGGCACCGGAGCGGGGGCGTGGTTAGAGGGCCGGAGGCGTGGTCACGGTCAGGAGGCGTGGCCACAAAGCAGGGGGCGTGTCCTTCAGGACAGCACGTCGGGTGACATTGGGGAGCGGTCACGGCAGGGGGCGTGGCCTATGCGGCGCGGGGCGTGGCCAGGGAGGTTCCCGCCGCCACGTGCCCCGCGCCCGGTGCCGGGTCGGGTTTCGGGCGATGAAACCAGAGCCCCACACGGGACCCCCCCGGGAGCCCCCAGGGCCGCCCCGCTCCCCCCGCCCCGCGCCCCGGGGGGTCGCCGCGCTGCACCCGGTCTCCTGGGCGACGCGGCGGGACCGGGGGACAGCTCTGGCCTCGTCCCTGCGAGGGGCGAGCGCCTGGTCGG